TTGCACAAGTCACGATACATTCATGAACTGGTCTGAGAGACAAGATTGTTCTAGATGCTGCCCTACTTGTTTACATTCAGAAGCACACATCTACACAAAAGCTATTAAGTGTTACAAGCAAGTCTAATTTCCAACAGATCTACTGTGTATGCCAAGCATGGTTTAGTTTTAATGAATAGTTAACACCCAGGTAGGAAACAATTGTTGAGAAACCAGTCTTAACAACTTTTCAGAAAAGGGTCTCTTGTGTTTAGTAATTCCCTGCAGTGAAGGCGCCACTGTGTCACACGTTTCGTAACACTGACAGCCATGAAGGAAACCACTGACAATGAGTTGATGGTAGAAAGCATAACATACCTATTTGGAAAATGTTTTTATTGATAAAACATAAAATTATTCGGTTGACCAATAATAATCTATGCTATTAGCCTGTTTACTTATTTGCTATGCCTTTCTGAGAAGGATCATGGTGTCATATTGGAAATCAGTTATGCTTTCTTGAAATTGGGATGAAGGCCAAAGGAAGTAAGAGAGCTTGAAAAAAATGAAAATGAAAGCAAATAGAAAAAAATACAAAATAGCATATGAAGAGGATAAAGGATAAAGATGATAGTAAGATATTTGCTTGCTTCACATAAAAAGAGACAATGGAAATAGTAATGGTAATATTTGCCATTTCCTTGTAAAGAAACAATCTCAATGGTTGAATCAGTGAATGAAGAGGGCTACACATGATACAAAAGGCTGCCAATCTAAATTATAACAGACTCAACAGTAGGTTTTCATAACTGGATTCTATATGTCTCATTCCATATGAGCTGTAAAGGAAGGTCATGAAATCAAACGTATGGGTCACTTCCTGGCAAGTTGAGGTTCATCTTAAACAAATTCACATCATCAGCACTTTCTTCTACTCTGATTTTCTTTAATTTTCAACCAACTCTTGCAAAGCCAAACGACAATAGGGAATGGATGACAGGAGCAGGTCTTAGTGAAACTGGAAATTTCTAATCCTGAACTTGCATGTTGGAGGTGAATGCAGTCATCAACACCATCATCATCATAAAGGAAGCAATCAGCAAAGAAGAAATTCAATTCTTGGATACGAGATTGTTGCAGAGTAGCTAGCACCCCTTCAGCATTCTACCAGATGGCCTGGCTCATTAAATAGTCTATGATTAAGAACTTCAAAAGTTAATTAATAAGTTGATATACTAAGCTGATTAATATTCAAACTGATTTTACTTCATTTGGCTATACAGCATTTGACCCTCCTCTATTTATTGTAAGTTGTCATGTTAATTGTTTTGTAACTTATTGTTCTGTATTTTTTGTATGTATCTGTTAGCACCGGATACTGGTGTTGAATAAATATATTAAGCACTTATTCTTCTCTGTGTATCATTCACCTTGATGATACAACAGAAATAAAGCTGCCACTAATGATAAGGAAACATTCAGCATTCACTGATCAAGCAGTCAGTTCTACTTTCATTTCAAATTTATAAAATCTTTCCATGAAAACAATCATTCAGAAAAATAGATCAAGTCCAGTAACTGTTATTGCTGTTACTGATCAGAGCTTCATTCCTAAATATTTATTTGAAGTCGTGTGGAATGTCAACATCTTACACCATTATTTTCCGTTCGAGTTTTATTTATCAACTGAACCCAAGGAAGAATATAATTCCACAAGGACACAAGGGGCTATTATGAGTGAAAGAGAATGAGACCATATTAGAAGGAACTGGAAACCTTATCCTAAACCTGAAACAAGGGATACACTTTTACTCCTGTTCAAAAAACTGGGGAGGAGTGTGAATCAAAAAATAGGTGACCCTATCTACTCCTATATGCTATCTATTTTAGTTGTTGCTGTTGTTGAAAGTCTTCAGGTGATAATTTCCTGATATTTGGCACTGTGATTCTGTAGTGCCAGTCTACAAGGTTTAAAGAAGGATAGTCCTTGCTAAGACTTACAGGCTTTATTTGCTCAAAGCTATTTTTAACCATTGATCTGAGAAAGTGTTTGTATATAGCTGAAAGTTTAGATATTTCTGAATAAGCTTGGCACTGTACATAACATCCATATGTAAGTATCAATCTGATGAGGCTAGGTCAGTTATATATATATGAAAGGTTTGCTGAGAGGGTGGTCAATTTTTGTCCTTGACTTGTGTGCATGCTTGGGTTTCCCACATTAAACCCTGCCTTGTCTCAGTAGGGAGGCTGGATGAAATAAAATGATTCTGTAGCCCAGATGACTAAGATCAAAGTGTAGTATCCAGCCATCATCAACAGTTTCAGCCAGGCAACCATCATCATCTGCAGCTCCAGCTTGACACTGGCCACTGCTCCAGCCAATCCCAGCAGACCTCCAGCTCCAATGATATGCAATAAACTGCCCTTCTCAAGACAATGCCCTTCACCTCCTCTACATGAGCATGCAGATATATTTTTTATCTAGTGCACCATAACCTTATTTTTATTGATGTATTTTTTTTAATGAAAATAAACTTGGTAATATATTTTTTTTTACTGAGGTCTTCATTTTGTTTGTTATTGTCTTCCATCATTCAATATCTGTTTGCAGACCAATATAACAACTGCAACAAAAGTCCCAAAATGATGTGGTTTGGTTTGGTTTACAGCATATCAACCACAAAGGGTTATTTAATGCCAACAATATTTTTATTGCTGGTAATATTTTTTTCCAAAAATGTACTCTTGGTGATATTTTTTTTCTTCAAAAATGTATTGTTGGTAATGTGTTGCTGGTAATAATTTTTTCTTCAAAAATTCATTGCTGGTATTAAAACCTATTTCTACACTTTCATAGTGTTTTAACTGCAGTTTGTGGGTTAATTATTTGCCCATAGCTGGGACCCTAACAGGTGCTACCACTCTGGATCAGGGTGGCCCTGGGAACACCAGCAATTAAGAAGTGGCTCCATGCTCCTCAAAACCTCTTGATCAGAGACCTTGCTGGTGGATGCAGGTTATCGTCTTACCCATAATGCGGATATAGTTTATTGTTTTACCCAGGACACCAAATGATGTGGTTTCTGTTATTTGGTAAAGTTCTTTGTGATTATATAGCACCAATTTCCAAAGTTTGAAGAAGAATGGTCCTTGCTGAGACCTATATCATAATTGTATGCAACTGATGTCATATGTAAAATAAGGTATATATACATACATATTTATAAGTTTTTAAAAAATTATTTAGTATTTACTAATGCCAATTTCCAAAATTTTATGATCGACTCAGTGTATGTGCCATCACTGCTTTCGTTCCAATTCTAGATCACAGTTTCTGTTTTAGAAAGTGTTTGTATACAGCCGACAGCTTAGATATTTCTGAAAGAAAGAGTTTGGCACTAAGAATTTAAGCATGTTACTAGATTGGCATCTAGGTCCCACTCTTTTACTGTTGAAATAGTTAAATGAAGCCACCACTTCTATGACAGCAGTTTCTTTTCTCATGCTTCCCAACAGTGAAACTCCTTTCCTCTTACTTGCTTTCCTGATAACTACAATCTTCAAAGACATCAGTTGCCATCTTCTATTGCCGTGATTCTCGTTTTTCTTTTATCCTTTCCTCAATCCTCTCTATACAGTTTTTTCCCTCATTTTTACTCTCTGTAACCCCTTGCATGTTAGTGGCACTCCTGCCTTGCTTGGGGTGAAATGATTAAAAAAAAAAAAAAAGGCATAATATCCATATGAAAATCTCAATTGGATGAAGCTAGGCTATATCAAAATCTCAGCTGGTTATATGAAGGTTTTATTGAAATTTATTACTAACAAGGTCTCTTTAATTTTATTTCAAATATTTTTCCAATTTGCAACCAAGTTGTTTTTTTTTACCAAATTAAACTTATGAAGAATGTCTCCTAATTTTCTGAAGTTTTTGCCTTAGAATATTTGACCATCTTTAGTCATTACCAAGGGCATTAATGTTATCAATTACAATGGATGAAATTTTTCATTAGCTTCATTCTGGCTTCAAATTTTAATTTTCTTTTAACGTACCTTAATCATATGTAGATGATTTCATATGTTAAATGGTTTATAATTTTATGTAAAGGATACTTTCAACTTAAAATCAAAACAAAAACAATTACTTCAGAATTTGAAAACATGTGCGTCTAAGGCCAAGTTTTTGCAAAATTTTAATGTATATTCCTTTCATATTGTTAGAAGCCATTTCATACATGTTGCCACTTGAATCTGATACACATCTATTTAAATAACAATTATTATTAATCTTTTCTGTGTTGTGTTCTTTCAGACATGGGTGAATATAACTATTTAAGAACATGATTAAGTTTTTAGGTTAATGTTTTGTTTTTGAAGCAATTTGCTGTTTTGGCTGAAGCTACATCTACCATAGCTTATTTCCTATTTCTTTATTTCCTATCTCTATTTGTTATAACTGATCCCTACACTGACATAATTTAAGTATTTAGTATTTACTAATTACACATTCTGATTTTTTATGATGGATTCAGGGTATGTGCCATTACTGCTTTCATTCCAATTCCAGATAATAGGTTCTGTTTTGAAAAGGTTTATCCTACATGATGAAGAATCAGGGAGGTATTCAAGAGCATAAAAAAAACATGAACAGGCAATAAAGATTGGAAGTGACAAGAGAGAGAATGAGAAGATAGGTGAGGGGGGGAGATAATAGATATTCCTCATTAATATACATGGAATCTTCAAGATTGGTTTTTTCAGTGGCATATCAACCTCTATAGGTTATTTAATGCCAAAATCTAAATGTTTTGTATGCAATTTTCTTTTGAGATAATAATGGTATTAGTGATACAAGTCTTACTAATTAACCCATAGCTGGGAGGAAGAAGAGGTGGATTCATTCCTTTCCCAAGAGTATTTGAGTGTAAGTGAATATAACAAACCCAACTGGAATTAGATCTCAGCTCTCGGATTAAAAATTCTGAGCCATTATCCATTACACCACCTGCACATCCAAGCTTACAGCACTTGGTATTCCCAAACAGTCACCCATTTAGGTACTAACCAGGCTCATTGTTGCTTAACTTCAGTTATTGTATGGGAACAGGTCTTTCAATTTGATATGGCTGTAAGCTGAATCTTCATGAATCCAATGAGTTAACAAAGTCCAATCAAGTAAGAATTTATTTAAAATTATGAATGTTACTTGTAAGAATTAAATTAATGTTATTTGTTAATTTTAAATGAACTACACTTATTGTAAAGATTATTCCCAATATTGGCAGCATTTGTTTTAACTTAAGGTTTCTCATTTCATGAGATTTTCCTAATATCATTGTCATTCTTTTGAAATGGAACAGTTAGAATTCCAAGAACTGTATATCATTGCCATTCTTTTGAAATGGAACTGTTAGAATCCCAAGAACTGTATATCGTTGCATATTCTTTTGAAACAGAACTGTTAGAATTCCAAGAACTGTATATCGTTGCCATACTTTTGAAATGGAACTGTTAGAATTCCAAGAACAGTATATCATTGCCATTCTTTTGAAATGGAACAGTTAGAATTCCAAGAACTGTATATCGTTGCATATTCTTTTGAAATAGAACTGTTAGAATTCTAAGAACTGTATATCGTTGCCATTCTTTTGAAGTGTAAAAGTTAGAATTCCAAGAACTGTTATATCATTGCATATTCTTTTGAAATAGAACTGTTAGAATTCCAAGAACTTTTCCAAGTATTGATCATCTTCTTATTTGAAGCATTCAGTACCTAAAGGGTCTTTTTAATTAACAATTTCACTATTTAACTTCTAAGCCCTAAACAACATTAATTATGTAATGTCTCCCTTTTTGAAATTCATGCCTTTTCTTAATTTTGTCTTCTTCACACTGCTAGGACTAATACATGCCTTTCACTGATGCTATTTCTTTTATGAATCTTAATTATTCTGTTTTTGCTTAATTCACATTAATGAAAAAGCATGAAGAAGCAGTCTATAATTTTTAAACTAGTTATTACAATTCCAAGACTTGTTCAGAATACGGATTTTATTTTTCTGTTGTTATGACAATGTTTCAGCTGACCTATTGTTTAGGCTTTCTCAAGCATACAGCAAAGAAACTATTGGAGATCATGCATATCAAATAAATAATCATGCATATCACATGAAACACAGCAGGGGAAGTTTGACCAAGATATTTGCCACCATTTTTCTGTTATTATTATACTGGTAGACATTAACTAAAAAAAATATTCACTTCCCTGCTACTTTCAATACCAGCTACACATTTGAGGAAGGCAGAAGAATGAGTCAGCCAAAACATTGTGGTAACAATACAAGCAAATAAAAGAATAAGATAAATATTTTTAATTATTAATATAAAATAAAAACAAATAGAAAATTGTTTACACTATTTACCTGTGAACTTATGTTTTATCTGCATGTAAATAGTGTAAATAATGATAAATCCTCATCCCAGAAATTCAGACAGAAGGTGATCAGGTAATAATAACAATAAAGATGAGGACAATAGCCCACATGTAAATAGTGTAAATAATGATAAATCCTCATCCCAGAAATTCAAATGGAAAGCACAAAATTACTGCAATTTTTTATTTGTGTTCTATCTGCTATGTCCTTTCAGGATGTGGATAATCATGGTTTTCCACAATTTCCTGTCTTTTGTAGCTTTTAGTAAATTTTGTCTTCTTCCCAATATTTACACAAACTCATTAAATAGGTTATTCACTGTTTACATCTATCTCTCTTGCTATCAATATGTCCTATGAGTGTCAAATTTTCAAAGCCCTCTCTCCTCATTATGTACCCTAGAAATTTAAACTCTTTCTGATTTTGTCCTTTTTATCTTCATTTTCCCTAAAACGTCAATGTTGCTCATATGTTCAGTTCATGCTATTCCCAACACCATTCTGTAGAACCAACATTTCTGTTGTCACAAGGCTTTTCTTTATCGGTGATCAGATTGTCCAGCATTCACTGCCACATAAGAGGACCAATATTACATAAAAATTCACTACTCTTTCTATTTGTTTGCAATGAAATTTTCTTGTTTCTTAATATTTTGCTAATCTTTTAGATGGTATCTTTTGTCATCCTAATGCACCTTCAGATTTCCATGTCACATTGCCCATCCTTTGTTAAAAAAAATTCATTGAAGGAGAAAAACATATATCACAGTATAAAATAAAATAAGTCAATTCAGGTCATGGTTAATGGTTAGTTCTCTGAAGTACATAAGATCAATGTTGGCATCCCCCAAGGTGCTTCTAGGTTGTACTACTTTCTGCTTTTTATTAACAATCTGCTCAAGAACATTCTCAGATCTTTTGTAATTATATATGCAAATGATACCAAGGTTTATGAGTGCATCTGCAGAAAGTGTAGATAATTACAGCCCGGCAGCTGATCTCTCTACTGACCTAGCCTTCACCATTCAAATGGGGGGAAGACTGGGTTGTATTATGGTGGGTGGTGGAGGTTATCTTAAGATACTGCCCGTTCCCACCATATATCTATATTGACCTTATGTAAAGAAAGTGCACAGAGAGTAAATATATGCAAAGTTAAATATATATATATATATATATACCTGAGGAAACCATCAGTGGCAGAAACCAGGGTAGTGGAAAAGGTTAGTGTTTGTAATATTTTAGATCTTAACTAGCTCTACATTTTTGATTTTTTTGGACAATTTAAACCTCGTCTGTATAAACAGTTTTATTATATATATATATATATATATGTGAAAATATATAGAAAATAGGAAGGAACTGGTTAGGTAAATAATCCAAAGTCCCTTAGTATTTTAGTTATTATTTTTTAAAAATAGTGCTCGATACAAAAGTAGAGCATAATATAATTATTTATTTAAAAATATGATTCCTCAAGAAGTCTCATGTTTCAAAAAACTTTTGAAAACTTCAATATAATTAACAGAGCTTATTTTAACTCAATTCAATTTAAATAATTATATTGAAGTTTTCGGCTCTTGTTTTTGAAACATGAGACTTATGTAGCGTTTTGGAATCATATTTTTAAATAAATAATTTATATATATATATATATATCAATGCATCATTCATTTAAATTAGTAAAGTTAATGATATAAAATGGAAAAATCCTTTTGCAAACAAAATTTTAAAGGTAAGATCTTTGAATGGATCCTTGTTTTTATTCAGTTTATAATTTTTAAAAACAAGGATCATAACATTTATTGAGTGATTTGTAGGTTATATTTATATCATTAACTTTACTAACCTACTTTTTTGTATGAATGATTGTATATATATATATATATACACACACACACACTACAGAAAGATAGAGTGAAAGTTGGAGATCCAAGAATTTAAAATAAAATATCCTGGTGCATATACGAAAGATAGACAGAGAGTGAGTACAGGAGAATATATATATGTATATGTATGTATTCAAATGTAGCAGCCCTCTGCTTAAAAGATGGTAAAAGAATGTATGTATTGAATGTATGTATATGTTATGATATTTCATCATTCTAGAAATAAAGATCTGAAATATTTTATTCATTTCATTTTCAGTATAAAAGAAAAAGTGGAAAGGAATCTTCTATCAATTACTAATATATGTAACACAGGGTAACTGACATTAACAACCCCACACAGTTACATATTCATAAAGGATTGTTTCAGTCATGCATGTGTTGTATTTTGACTCTAGGTATATTACAATGACTGCAGCATCAGAGATTGGATAAAATTAATTCATTGATTCCGATTTAGATCGATTTTTCTATCTTGTTATAAACATATCTAGAGATATATTTCTAAGGTGTCATTTTGCTTCTCCTGATCAGTGACTTTTTATTCTGGTTGACAACAGCTCTTGTTTCTGATTTGCTTGCTAGACAAGGATATTCATATCCTGGTTGGGACAGTTTCTGATTGGTTAGTCAAAATACATCTATTTTAAAAGATGGTGAAATTTTGGTCTTCTTGTTATTATTTGTTTATTTTGATTTATTTTTCTATCACTACTTTTTCATTCAATATCTCCGAAACAAAATAATAGCGTTTCATCACCACAAAGTAAATCCTAATTTTATTCCAACCCTGGCAAACGGTTGTCTTCTTAATGATGCTTCTTGCCTTGGACATTTGCTGAGATTAAAACTCACTTCTGATCCAAAATGGAACTCATTTAGTCATTCCATTGCTGAAGACGGTGCATTGATCAAATGATTTCTTTGACAGCATATCAACTCCTTTATGGGTCATTTAATGATGAAATTTAATTTCTCTGGGGACTTTGAAGTAATAAAAGTATGATATCTGTTATTCTGTTTTCACATTTGAATATATGATAGATGATACTCAGCTTTTGTGCATATACATGTCTGTATGGACATAATGATTAGAGGCAGTGATATGTGGGTTTTATGTTGCAATTTTGTTATATTTTGGAATACACTTAGATTTCTTTAAGAAATATATGATATTATATGGATTAATATCATGAAAGCAGCATATGAACCTCTATGAATTATTTAATGCTTAAATCTAAATATTTTGAACATAGTTTTTTTTACAGCTTCAACTACAGATAAAATGTATTGTTGGCCATTCTGCTTTAAAAATGTATTGTTAGTTGTTGATAATTTTTTATATAAAAAATATATTGGTGGTATTTTTACTGCAAAAATGTATTCTTATACTTTCATACTGTTGTGTCGGAAACCTACCACCCCTCTCTTGAAGATGAACTTGTCGGCGTCTGTGAACAAAGACTTTAAATAGTGGCATGTCAGTTGACATGACGGAAGACAGATAGACCGAGAAGTTCTTAGCTGAGCTAGTTATTGACTACAATTTCTGTACCTTTTTACCAACCTATTAAAACCCTTGTTATTGTTACGTGTTATTTGGTGTTTGTCTCTACTAACCCCAAATCAACATCATAACACATACTGTTTAAGGATTCACTATTTTACCATAGCTGGTGCCCTAACAGGTGCTACCACCCAGGACAGGATGAACCTGGGAACAATAGCAATTAAGTGTGGCTTCATGCTCCTCAAAATCTCCAATCTCCTGATCAGAAGCCTTGCTGTTGGATATAGTTTATTGTCATAC